AAAGAGCATCCTGGATGAACCAGACTCTCCTCTAGAGGTGAGGTCCTGAAATACTGACCATAACCTGTATCTGTGTCTTTTAATGGATTCAATTGCGTCATAGTAATTCATTAGATATTTTCAGAAACATAAGTCGTTGACAGCTCCTTTAATTAAAAGTTAATCGTCCCATTTGAAGTGCTGCTTTATTCGTTATGGGGTAGATGAGTATTGCATTCGAATGTACATGGAATGTATTGCAATGCCATGATTTGAAACCTGCTGCACTTAGTACTGCATTTTATAGTCAAATCTTTGTTGCACTTTTTGCATTATAACAGTCTTTGTGTATTCTTTTTTCCCGTTGATACTTTGTGTTAATCACAGTAATAAGCCATTTACTTAATATGTACATAGTTTTTTCTATGGACTTTAAAATGAACACTTGAAAACAACAATTTTTGAAACTAATAATTGCTCATGTGGATTTAAGTTTCAAATGTTAAACATGCTTTTTTGTGTGTCCCTCCGTTTTGTGCCAGTAAGTACCGCAGAAAGCAAAATTCAGCGCACTTTGTTGGTGTTTTGCTTTATTGTCTCTCGTCCTGTTTTGATCTGGACGATAAGACATTTTACTGTCTTATGGACCAAGTTATTTCTTTCTAGTGTTCACATATCTTTCCAAATATAGTAATCAATCGTATGAAACATAAGCCAAAAAGGAATGTCTGTTTATAATAGTTTATGTAGTTCCGTGCATCCGACTCACGGGGACGCTGATGACCAGTGTGCTGAGATTTTAGTGCATATTACAGCAGTACCTTCCCACCACCGCGTTATGTCACAGAGGAAGGAGAACATATCAGAAAGGCACAGTTCGGATGAAGATATTATCAAAGTCGGAGACACCAGGAATCTATTCAGCATTCATTGGAGTTTTTATTGTTTCTATTTGCTGACGCTTGTGTCTAAAATCTTTTTTGTTTTTTGTTTTTTGGATAACGGATTCCACATTTCTTTGTTCGGAAGGGAAACTGTCTGACTGAACAATGACACGGCAAGTCGGTTTAATGTTATTTTTCTCGATTCTCTCTCTCTGCACGGTTTTTGGCCAGGTCAGCTACTCAATTCCTGAGGAAATGGCGAAAGGATCTTTGGTCGGTAACATAGCACAAGATTTAGGTTTAGATGTGAAACGACTTAAATCAGGAAGAGCTCGTATATATACAGGAGAAGGTACAGAACACATCGAGCTCGATAAAGAAAAGGGAGTCCTTCTAATAAAAGAGCGAATAGACAGAGAAGCGCTCTGTGGGCAGACGACGCCCTGCGCTCTTGATTTTCAAATAATTTTGGAGAATCCTATGCAATTTTATAGCATCACTGTTGAGATCACTGACGTTAATGACAATTCTCCAGTTTTTAAAAACAGCAAAATGAAATTTGATATAAGCGAGATGGCTCAAATTGGGTCGAAATTTGTTTTAGAAAAAGCTATTGATGATGACGTGG